TTAACATACCTTCAATATTATAAATTAAATTGCATTGATTTAATTTTTTATATTGTTCTAATTCTTTAAATTCTTCATAGTTTTCTAACTTATTACATCGCTCAAAATCATATTGTTCTAAATTTTCATATTGTTCTAAATCTTCATGTTGCTCTAAATTCTTATACTGTTCTAAATCTTCATATTGCTCTAAATCCTCATATTGTTCTGATTCTTTATATTGTAATTTTTTGTCTTGATTATTCGATTTATTAACTCTTCTTTTTTTAGAATATACTTCTCCAACAATAATTCCATCTTTATCATATAAACATTTTTTGTTTTTTTCATGTTGTTGTTTAATTCGCTTGCTAAGTTTTCGGCCATTTGGATTTATAATTAAACAAGTATTACATTTACAAATTTCTTTTTCTAAATTCATATTTGTTATATTTATAAAAAGCTAAGAAGAATTTTAAGTACGTATCATAATTTATAGAATTTATAATTATCCAATATTGATTATGCTGTGTAATGTTTTTGTGCATATTATAATTTATACTAAATATAGAGAAGCGTTAAAACCAGACACGAGTTTTTTAATATAAATATTAATTAAGGTAATTGGCTACGCAAAAATTTTTATTTATATATTACAAGGCCAAAAGTTAAATAGTTGTCTAATATAAAAGATTTTGGCTAACCATTATCTAATCTTTTTATTATAATCTTGTATAACTAAAATATCAATGTTTTACCTTTATTAAAAGTGTAAAAAGTAGCTTTTTTATACTTTAGATATATTATGAATAAACTATTTATTATCGCAATATTTTAGTTTATCTTTATATGCCTGTTCTTACTTAGCCTGTCTATTTCTATACTTTGTTTTTTATCTTTTATTATCACAGGCTTAGTTTAACTAGTACTAGTCTACATCTAATTCTCTGTCTTATTTCTTTTCTATTTACAGTAACGAATAAGACCAGTCATATATCTTAAAGCCCCTGCAATATAATAGAAGCCACACAATATTTTTGTAATTCAAGACTTAGCCACAATACGCATTATTACTATTACTTAATTACAATCTAGACAGGTTTTTTAAAAAACTATTCTAGTGCTCTTGCTAAAAAAAAAAGTGAAAATTACTAAAAATCTATATTATAAAACTCGGGTGCGCCCACTAAAAAATTGACAAAAATCTATACTTTCGGCAAAGCTATACTATTAATATAAATAAATCCTATTTAAACAAAAAAACAATGATTTATTATTGAGGCTTTGGGCTAATTATTTATATTTAATGCTGAAGATGTTTATTCGATTTGACCTGGCTTGTATATTTGATTTTTAAAAAAGCCAATTACAGAAATTATAAATAGATAAATAAGTCATTAACATCTTTCGAATGTTTAAATAAATAAATAAATATAATATTATAATAAATTTAGTAAAATATAGATTCAAAAAATTTAACACTAAACAAAACAATAAGGTTTAACATCACCTTTTGTCGCTTTTGAACCTTTCATTAAGATTTTAGTTAATGAAAGTCAAAACTAGGTTTTGACTTTTCTCAGTGCAAAATCTCGAGGTTTCATCTAACAACCACAGGTTAAATCAATAAATATTGGTGCATACCAAGAAACAATCTTCCTCAAATACCTGCTAAATATCAGCAGCATATTGAAAGCATATCAGGAGGCAGATTGATATCAGTAACATAACAGCACAATATTGAGATATACTAATATCTTACTCTTAGCACTCTGGGCCTAAAAGATATCAGGATATCCCAATATTTTGCTATTATGTTGCTAATATCAATCTACTTCCCGATATCTTACCATTATGCTGCTGATATTCAGCAGACTAACGGGACATATCAGGAAACTTTTCTCCCGATATGCACCCGATATTCATTTATTTATATATATTTATTTGTAATTCAATAGTTATTATATTATTAATATATCTTATTGATTCAACCTGTGAACTATAGATCTGAATATTCATCTTTTAGTTTTTTTTGATGTCTATGAATCAGTTAACGAATGACGAAACCCTTGACGAATGATGAAACTCTTGACGAATGATAAATAATTAATATTAATCGTTTTATTAGTTAAGTAAAGGAAAAGTTCATCGGTTATGTATTATTATATTTTATTATTAAAAATACTGTCGTTGATTGATTTTTAATTTCCGACCGCCTCCAGGTGCCGTCGGAATTTTATTGGGCCCTATCAGAGCAGAAAAATAGAACAACCTGTGACCTTATATTAGATACTCGTGACATAATCTAGAGCTCTATTTCAACCCTAGTTACCCAGACCAAGTCTCCCACGCTTCAATCGAAGTCTTACCAGTATTGTTTAGATAGAGTAGTATAGTTGATGTGCATTGCATATGAATAACGATTACATTTGATTTTTTGTACAGTAGAATCTGATCTAGGACATTTGCTCAGGCGAATTTAATCGCACTGTAATTAGTAGTTCCTCTTCACTAACAATTATTTCACCGAAAGCGAACCTTAATATATAATGCCAACTAAATAGGCTATCAGTCAATGAAGCGCACATTTATTAAATAGTAAGTATTATATTGTCTTTTAAATTAATGTGATAACTGTTATTTTAAATATTAATCCATTAACCAATCTTATAATCTAGTTATCCGAGTAACTACCAGCTATCATATCTTAGAGTATGACCACTACTACTATTAAAGCAAATCTTAACTATATATTAAACTTATATTAAATTGTGATTTTTCTAAAAATTGCTAATACTTAGCAAATATTGTAATTTCGAATATATGAGTACCAAGTTTTGATATTTTAGGTAATTCGCATCATACCCAAATTATTAATTGAGTAAATTTATAAATTTACATTTCTAGTTTCGTATAACAGTATCGTGCAGGCTTATATTGATGTGATTTAAGCCACTTTTCTTAATAAAGCTTTTAAAGCCAGACTAGTTTATTATTTATTGGTTATAACTGTCTACCGCTACTTTGTTGTATTCTGTTTCTGGTAAATTTATAAACTATGCATAGCCACGAAATTTAATTAAAAATTTAATAACCAGAAAGGCTCATAAGAATCCACATAAAACCTGATAAAACTTGTAGTATTTATTATACTATATACAATATTCTTTGTTATCGTTATCAATTCAAAGTAGCTTTATTCGATATACTGGTTTAGTCTAACAGTTTTTGTATATTTAGCAGAACCTAACAATATATAATAATAACTAGCCTGCTGATTAAAAGCTTTCTGAATACATGATAATTTTATATACATATACAATGATCAATTTGAGTATGCAAGATTTTGTACATTTGCTATATTTATGGTAATACAATATAGAGAATTTTATTTTACAATAATTTAGTTTTGTCACGTTTATATTAATAATTTAAAAAAATGATTCGTGCATGTTATAGTAAATTAGTTAATGATCAACATATATATAAATAATTATTTTCGCGTGTGTTTTTGCAAAACAAGTTTTGTCTTTTAAATTCAAATACAATGGCTACCTCTTCTATTTCTTATTCATACTTGTCTAAAAAAATTTTAGATTGCGAAATCCCATCTAAAGAAACTTTCAATACATTATCACTAGATCAACAAATAGAAATTTTAAAGTCTTGCTACAATATACAAAGAAAATTACTTATAAAAATACTTGAAGATAAAAAAAATGAACAAGCAACAATCGAAATACCAAATATTCAGCCTCCCAAAAGAGATAAATCTAAACCATCAAAATTGAAATTATCAGAACTTTGTCCTTGGTTACCAAAAAATTATTTTTCAAAAATAAAGGCTGATTTTACACCACATCTTGAAGAAAATAAAATTGCAGAGTCAATTACATGGGTACATTTAGGATATTCGGTTAGAGAAAGTTGGGTTTTAGACGTAAGTATATAATAAATATATTTTATTATATTAACTTTAAATTTATAAAAGCTTATTTTAGTATATATACTTATTTTATAAATTTTTTTAGGTTTATAATAAACATAAGCATCAGATTGGTTCTAATAAATGGATCGTTGAAGAATGTTTAAAACAAAAATTAATTGATAGAGGTAAAATTTTATAAATTAATTGTATATTTTAGTAAATATTTATTAAAATTTTAAAATTAAATTATATTTTAATAGCTGATAATTTTAGACGAAGAAACAAAAAAGCAAAATTTAAAGTTACTAAATCCAATAATCAAGTTACAAATAGTGATAATGAATTAGAAATATTGAACCAAGATGTTAATCAAAATATTGAACAAGATAAAGAAGATGAATATTTGTCAGATCTAGCATCTAATGAAAACTTTAATCAAACTACAATAGTTAACGAATGTAAGTTTGTTAATTTTTAAATTAAATATTACATTATTTATATATTAATAATTAAATTTATTGTTAATTTAGATGATAGTAATGATTATAATAATTATGATGAAGATGATGATAATGATAATTTAAGAATTCTTACTTCATCTTATTCTAATAATTTTGTAAACTCAAATTCCAATACTATTGCTTCAGGCAGTAATGATTCTAGAGATTATATAACACCTACTTTTTCAAGCTATAATAATACTTTTTCTAGCTATTATACCGTATCTGCTTCTAGTAGTGATAATGAAACAACTAATAATTCTACATTTCAAAGAAATAAAGGTATTATAAATTATTTTTAAATAAATAAAATAATATTTACCAATTTTAATTTTTTATTTATTTATAAATATATTAGAATCAAACTTACCAATTAAAAAAAATACAGATAGAATAAGTAATCGAACACGACAAAAGTGTGATACCACTTTTGAAGGAATTGAACAAAATTTAGAAAATCCTGTACCAAGACGAATTAAAAAAAAGGATACATTATTACCATTATCATCATTGGATAATAATATATTTGCTTCTAATGGTAATAAAAAAAAACTTTGTATTTAAATAAATAAAGGCATTGTAATTTATTTAAAATTAATACATATTTAATTTACCTATTTTTTCTAATTTATTTACACGTAGATATATTAAAATCAAATACACTAATTAAAGAAAATGTAGATAGAGTTAGTAACAGAACACGACAAAAAAATGATGCTGATTTTGAAAAAAATCCTTTACCAAAACGAGTTCGCAAAGAAGACACATTATCACTATCAGATAAAAATAATGTAAGAAAAGTTCAAAAAGCAAATACTAGAAGTAAAGCTATCAATAAGGCTAGACGGAATTAAATTTAGCATATTTGAATATATGTTATTTACATTATATATTATATAGTTTAATAGTTATATAATATATGTAATGATATAAGCATTATTAATAAATATAGATTAGTGCTATTTTGTTGATTAATTCCAAATTCAGAAAAAAATGTTCGTTTTTAATATTACTAATAGTTAACATATCCAAATATTTATTCGATATATTATAAATTGAAATACTGTAAATTGTTTGCACAACTAAAATTTAATAGATTAACCAAATTCTAGAACAGAATTGACAAATTTTGCTAATAGGAGTTTTCAAACCTAATATTCAAGTTTCTGATTTCGAATTAAATTAGTGGTGTATTAATTTTGTAATCAGCAATTTATACAATGACCCAGTAATATACACATGCAAATTAAAAATTGCCCAGATACCAATTATGCTATAATATAGTTGGCTATTATTGCTTAATGCAGCATAACTCTTATATATTCTAATCTAAACTTAGGCTAATCTGCTGAATTTTGGTTGTGTGCCTAATTTATCTGTAAAATCGCAAAATAATATTGGAGTTTTTGCCAACCTAAAGTGGAGTTTACTAATTTCTCTCGCCACTTCTGATTGGTTCTACTGATTATTCACATATCAGAATATCTGTACTATTAATTATTTTTATAGTACTCCGATAGTAAAGTGGCAGGGGAAATTAGTAAACCTCTTAAGTATCTAGAAATCGTTTAAGCATTATTAAGAAAAAAATGAAACTTTGGGCTTTCAAGTTTATCATTTATTATTTATTAAATTTAGCTCGTAAAAGTCTGATTAGTGATTATATGTGATTGTATATCATAGAAATTACTATCAGGTTTTTAAAGGCCAAATCCGGTAATAATAAATTATAAAAGCCCAAAATATCATTTCTTCTTTATTAAAGTATAATGAACCACACTATGATTGCATCTCAACTAATAAAATTAAATACCAATATTTAATAATTTATATACACTCAAATTTTTAGATTACTCTTAAATTTTATAAAATAATAATATCTAATAAAAACTTTTTTTTATTAGCAAGTAGAAAATTAAAGTTTATTTATTGAAATTTGCTTCTTTAACTAAAATTTGCAATATTTATAAAGTAGTTAGATTTACAGTAAAGCCTCTACAAGTGTATATACTTGAGACCAACTTTAAGAGCGTGCAATTAAAAAGCAATATGAAAAAGTGTATTTATAGAAAACATATATATATTCAGCCAGAACTTGAGTGTGCATTTAGAGAGGGTGTGACTTACAGAGGGTGCATCTATAGATTTTGTACTGTATTGCAAATTTAACATATAGTAAACCTCTATAAATGCACTCTCTGTAAATGACACCCTCTCTAAATGCATACTCAAGTTCGGGCCCAAATATATATATAATTTCTATGAATATATTTTTTCATATTGCTTTTTAATTACACATTCTTAAAGTTTGGTCCCAAATGTGTGCAATTGTGGAGGTTTTACTATATGATAAAGTCAATTAAATTGGCTCACTGTCAGTAGACAAAATTTCTAAATATTGGGATATTTTACAAATATGTAATAATAAAAACCTGTAATTCATATTATATGAGTGCCACTAGGATGGGTTCAGTCACAGACGGTCAAAATTATTCATAGCCAATTTGTTAAATACTGAGATGATTTTTTACTTTTGAGCTTTTAATTAAAAATGTTCAGAATTAAATTTTGGTCATACTATCTTATAAGTGGAAAGAGCGATACCTTCTCTGAAAATCGGAATTCAAAATTTGTACCATCATAACCAGTCATTGACCATCAGTTAATGACCGGTTATAATGTTACAAATTTTGTAATTCTGATTTCCAAAGAAGTTATCACTCTTTTCACTTATATGATGGTATAACCAAAATTTAATTCTAAATATTTTTAATTAAAAGCTCAAAAGTAAAAAATCATCTCAGTATTTAGCAAATTGGCTATGAATAATTTTTGACCATTCGCAACTAAACCCATCCCTAAGTGCTGCTAAGGGAAAACCTGTTATTGGGCTTTCAATTATATTTTGTACCGGACAAAATCTATTTAATTTCTTAGGGAATATGTCCAGAACAAAATATAATTGAAAGCCTGATAACAGGTTTGCCAGGTCCACACAACCGTGTCAATGTTTTTGAGATTCAAAACTTAGCCACAATATACGGATTTTTTTAAAAAAACATAATGAAGATTGCCAATAAACCATATATACAACATGTATACATAGCCATAAGTTGTTTAAAAATTTAACCAGAAAGGCTCATATAAAACTTGATAATACTATATATATTATTCTAAGTAACAGGAGGAAACGTTAATATTACACAACTGATTTTACACATGGTGTGAAACACATAAAAAAATTATTTTACATTACTTGGGACTTGCTAGTACAATGTTATGATTCTAATCCCATACCATTTTTTATAATTAAAAATGTGGGATTATAATCATAACATGTACTAGCTGACTGATCAAATCCGATCAAGAATTGTAGAATAATTTTTTTATATGTTTTACACCGTGTGTAAAATCAGTCATGTAACATCAACGTTTCCTCCTGTTATTCTAAGTTATTAATTCAAAATGGCTCTAAGTTAATATACAAGTTCAAACTAGTAATTTTAGTGTTTATCAACAATATATATACTGTACTGTATAACGATAATGATAGTCAACCTGTTAATGTTACACATACAATACGTAATTGATAACTGATAACAGACATATATGTATTGTTTACTCCAAAGTATCAACCAATCAAATTTGATTTACTGTAAAAATAAATACATATTTACGTATTGTTTACTTAAAACTTTTTTTAAAAAAAATCGGTCACTCTTAGACTGAACAAACAACAATATTGTATTTGGTATTTTTTAATATTTTTTTTTCTTCAATCACATTAACTGCTAAGTTAAAAACTGTAAATTTTTTTATTTTTAGAGCATACTGAAAAAAGAGACAAGTAGCTAAGAAGGTTTGCATTCTTGTTTTAGACAAATCCTTGATAATATATGAGTGTCATGTTCATCATCACTAACACCAATTCTATTATTACAACTTTCAAGGAAGCTTATTTCACCAGTACTAAGATTACTTCCTCTATTTAATATGTTACTTAATCTAGCATCCAATAATTCAACTTTATTGTTTTTGCCTTTATTCAGTTTAGATTGGTTCCTAACTTTCTTATTACTTCTTTAACGTATTTTATAACTGTATACTAAACTATCTCTCATATTCAATTCTTCATTTTTATCAATCATCTCTTTGCTTTACATATTACGTCTATATCTCTATCTTTATTGTTCTCAACATCTATACTTCTACTATTTCAAACCCACTTTTCATTTATAATTTTTCACTTTCGACATTTTTCATATCCTATTCAAATGCTTTTATATTTTTGGTTCAGTTTCTATTTATTTATTTAAATTGGTTTAAATCTATTTTTTTTAGCAATGAATTTCTCCTAAATTACATTATTTTGACAATACTGATTCTAGATATATCTTGGTTATCAGGCCCAAGGTTATTTATTTTATTCAAATTTTCTGTTTCTGTTAAATTTTGAATAATTTATATTTATTTCTTTTAGCACCAGTTTCATCATACTTGTAGTAAGCCAATCTTTAACAATTAATGAATACTTTATATTTATTAATTTTTGCTCTATTTGAATTGTTAATATTACATTTATTATTTCCATCGCTTTCTATAGTCTGACTACTAAATTTGACATCAACTTTCTCTTCTGTTCCTATTTATTCATCTTAATACTTTTGTCAAATTTTCAACTCCTTTCGAATATTTCTCGGCACCTTTATTTAAAATCTAAAGAATTGTACATACTGAACTTTATCACTCAGATTCGTATCTCTTTTCTTTTTTTGCAATAATTCTTTTCCAATATTCACACTGATCATTCTCTTTTATTTTATTCACAAATACTTGTGATAGGCCAATGTCTTGGGCATTGACATATGTAATATAGTCATGGCCTCTGATACATTCGTTTATTTTTCAGACTCTTTACAATTGCATTTTCATTATACTGACACCATGTAATGTCCTTTATTTTGGTTTTATTTATTCTTGTTTTCCAAATATACTCCTTAATAACAATATTCTTTTACCATTTTATTTGTCAACTTGATTTTTTTTTTATCTCAATTAACAATCAACGGCACTTTTAATTCACAACAACTTTCACCAATCACAGCCTTTATTTTTTGTGTTACAAATCAAATATCAGTTTCACTAAGTCAGAATACTTACGGCATTTTGTACTAGGCAATACCATCTCATCACCTTATACTACTACAAGAGAAAAAATGATTGTTACTAAGAATAGCTATTTACTAAACAGACTTGTTATTTTTTATTGGAGAATTCAATTGTTTTAAACATTACAAGATTCATCTAATTACAAATTTATTCGATTATATGCATTAGACTATTTATGGTTAGACTTTAAATTTTCAACCATACCACTTATACAACTTAATCCTAACCAAAGCCTAGCACTACAAAATTCCGGGATTACAAATTAACTCATGACACAATGCTAAACATATAACCAAGTGAATGCTTTTTTACATTTTTGTTATAATCAAATAATTACTAATTTATTTTTTAATTTATCATAATGAACCAATTTTTCTGAAAGCTTTTTGCTAAAGTTTCTAATTTTGGTTTCTTGAGAATAGGTTTACAAATTTAAACAACCATGATAATGATTATTATCTTAGAGATTTATTAACTAAAGCTTATTCTCGCTTGGTTAAACACTTTATGCATAAGTATCTTACCATACATTTTTCTTTATTTGTTACTAGACAAAGACTAACTTCGATTTTATTTACATTTATTATTTACATTAATTTTGTGAATTATATACTTATACTATACTATTTATCACTTCACATTTTTAATATAATAGACTCTTAAATTTTACTTAATATAAGTATTAATGTTATGGTAATCAACAATCATGGGATTTACTGCACCTGGCCTTATTAATACCACATTTCTGGTTGATTGTACATTATGTAAGCTGTGCGATTTGCATTTCTATTCTATCTTTGCATTTTTCACTTTATTATATATTTTATTATCAACCTGCATTCCTTTTACTAAATATAAGGGTTTAGTGAAAAATGTTCGACCTAACGGTTATCACCAAATTCAATAAAAGAAATCACTTGAAAGAAGCGTGAATTTTACTTTCTTCATATTAAGATTTTCTATTACAAACACTGCCTTCAAGTTGAACCTTCACACCTGTATAAACGCGAAATAACATGCAGAGATGTAATTTGGATTTTGGCCTAAATTAAGCTTAATTCGGGCTATTAATTAAAATAATGCTCCTGGCATTATTTCGCGCTTATATAGTAACATATTAACGCGTGATAGCGCACCAGAAAGTTATTTTAAATTTTAGCCCGAATTAGGCTTAATTTAGGCCGAAATTCAAAATTACGCCCTTACGCGTAATTTTGTAAATAAATTCTTTTAATAAATAAAAAACATCAATGCTAATAAGCTCATAAATCAAATCTGTACTAATTTGTACAATTTACGTGTCCGTGCTTTTACGTGCCAACAAGTGCCAATTCGATATATATATATATTAGTTATTGTGTTAGGTTCGTGGATTTACGTACTGGCTTGTAAACTTACGTGTGCCCATACCTGTGCCTTTACGCGCCAAACAGTACCAATTCGATATATTCTAGTTATTGGGTTAGGTTCGTGAATTTACGTACTGGCTCGTAAACTTACGTGTTTCTCATTTCCGTGCCTTTACGCGCCAACCAGTGCCAATTCGATATACTAGTTAGTGGTTAGGTTCGTAAATTTACGTACTGGCTCGTAAACTTACGTGTGTCCCATGCCCGTGCCTTTACGCGACTAGTTATTGGGTTAGGTTCGTGAATTTACGTACTAGGCACGTAAATTTACGTGTTATTACCCGTGCCAAATCCCGTGCCGATTCGACTAGTAAACTGCTGCAAAACCCGAGCCATTTACGGTCCATTTGGCACGGGCACACGATCCCACACGGTACACCGAATCCGTACCAACTCGGACCATATCCGTACAAATCCGGTCCTTGACCCGTGCCACAAAGGCCCGTGCCTATCCGAAACCAACCCGTACCGATCCGATCCACTTTTCTTATAGGGCACACTTTCGATGCACAAAACAAGGTACGTAGGGCAGCTATTAAAAATTGAAAAAGACATCTGCTGCTAAATATATCATTCTCAATAGCTTCAGTGTGCATTGAATAGTCGCTATTAAGTACATATTAATCTTGGCAAATTATTTCTATGCAAAGAAGCTGAAAATTCTAGGTTCGCTTTATTGAGGTTGATAATTTAGGAAATTTAATGAACTATATATAGAAAGATTGAAGTTTTTAAAATTCTTGCTCGTACGTATGTACATACGTACGGGGTAGAAAATCTAAAAATAGAATAAAGTCAACTAACTCATTGGAGATATACTAAATTAGCATGCTATTACATACACCATATCGATGTGGGCTGATTTTTGCGATTTATGTAGATTGGAACCCCAAAATAGGTTTAATTCTGGTCAAATTCGCAGATCATTTGGCCCTTGGTGATGAGTTTTAAAACTCATCACTAAGGGCCAAATGATCTGCGAATTTGACCAGAATTAAACCTATTTTGGGGTTCCAATCTACATAAATCGCAAAAATCAGCCCATATGCATTTTATTGAGATCGATAGTTTAGGAAATTTAATTTCGGTATGCCACTAGTTTATGCATTATCTCTACATAGATATATTGAAGTTTTTAAATTTCCTACAGCGGTGCAGAAAACCTAAAAACTTCAATCACTTTATATAGAATAAAGATTAACTAACGAAGATAAACTAAATATGTCATTCTCAATAGCATGATATTTGCATATATATTGTCTTTTGCTTATTGTCTTTATGCAAAGAGATTCTCTTCGCTTATTGAGATCGGTAATTTAGGAAATTTATTTTCGGTATGCCACTAGTTTATGCATTATAACTCTACTTAGAATATTGAGGGTTTTAAATTTCCTGCACCGTACGTATTTACATTAAGGATATTATCGGTTATTCGGCTTTATTGATTAATCGGTTTATAATAGTTAAGACTCAAGCCAACATTCCTGTTTTTTTTTTATTAGTGTGAAATCGTCATGGTGTTTCTGATGAAGTTTTTTTGGTCGCAATGATAGGTGAGTTCCTTTTAGAGATGGGAAAATTGCGCATTTTATAATAACATGCGCACGTTATATAAAATGCGCATGATATCGCATGATATAATTTATATTTTCTCTCCGGAAAATATCGGATATTTGCCAAAATTTTTTCCCCGACCCTTCTCATCTTTATGTTCATTCATTTTCTTTTCGGAATTTTTCAAAACTTCTACATTAGGGGGTTTCAAAGTTAAAATCAGAGAATCTCATTTTATTTTTCCGATTTATAACTTAACATAGTAAAAAT